GAGTTACAAAAATCAATCCAAACAGGCTATGGCTTAGTGAGTCATGGTTAAAATGACTCTGACTGTACATTGAGCCTTGTCATGGTAGGACCAATTTTTACTGACATATTAACAATTTCACAGTGTCATATAGTGAATGATTAATGTAGGATGGATTTTACTCTTTTGGGTGGGATATTTACTCCTTGAAGTCTATCTTTTACCCCTAAGAGCTATCTTACAACCACAAAGTGACACATTGCTTACGTCATTTTCTGTAAATGACAATGTTTGACAAAGTAATTTCTTGAAGAAACTTCAATTATTCCCATAGTGGGATGTTGAGAAGCTCCTTTTTGTGATTCCTGAGGCCACATTCTTCTCATCTTCTTCCTCTGCTTTTGGATTTGTGAGAGATCTCTCCCCTTAGTCCCCTAAATGGGACCCAACCAAAAGAATAATAATTGATTGAGGCAAACCAACTTTGCTTAAATTACTTTTGATTCGCTAGATCTTCTACTGATCCAACCTACAAAGGGGAAGAAAAAAATACGGAGGGGTCCCATTGGCATCATCCTAGAATCTCCTTAACCTCTTATGGAATATTTTAAAGCAAGAAAGTAGCCTTCAAGTACAGAAGCTGTTAAAGAGAACGCTACCACATTAATTCTCTCCTTTCTTTACACTCCGAGCCACCCCACCACCACTTCTGGACATTTCATGGTTTCAGCAGCATTTGAATCTTGAGAAAATGCTTTCATACATATTTTTTGGTTAGGATTTTGATTTTTCTGATGATTTTCTTAGGAATTAAGAGGACAAACACTAATGACTTAAAATTACTCCTACTTATAGAAAAACCTATATGCCACTAGGTCATAAGGCCATGGGCCTTGAGGTGAAAATTTGAACTAGTTTAATTGTATACAAAATTGGCTTATTTTCTTTCATTTGAACAAGCCAACCGAAAAATTTCGGAGATCAAGATTGACCCTATTTGTCAATAACAAATATTCCTTTCTTTGAAATGTGAATGTAGAGCATACATTCAAAGAGAAAGTGATACAAGAAAAAAGTGTCTGTGTATGAGCCTCACATGTCATAATTAGATATGAGGCACTCTGCGTTCATTTTGTGAATATAGAAATCTGAGATGCACTACGTACAAATTTGTCAATAACAAATACTCCTTTCTTTGAAATGTGAACTAGCTAAGCTAAACTTGCCATTATGGAATTGTAATGCAAGATAGAAGTGAATGCTTGCTCAGAAAGAACTATATCTTCTTTCTTATTGTTTTTTTTCCCCGTTTAATCGGACCCACCATGTCTAAATTTATTAATCATTGTCTATACATATTAAAAACTCAATCTAGTATTAGCGATAATGTTAAACTACTGGCAATTAAGTGCGTATCTTTTTCAGACCAAACTATATATTTCTTTTTGGCTGTTTTCCATTCACTAACAACTGGCGTATGATTAAGCAAATGATCAAGATATTTCATTGCAGATAAGTGAAGCGTAAGTATTAAATAAGAAAGTAAGCATTCTGAATAATGTAAAACTGTACTCGTAATTCGCATACCAGATTAGCTGAATAGATGGGAATCCGTGGTGCTGAGGTGACAGTGTTTTGGAGCACCAATCATTGGATTTAGATTCCTGTGATCAACCTCTTGACCGAAAGACAAGAAACTTGAAGAGTGATTTAGTCCAAATTGACTTTTACGTTGTGTTGTTGGCCATTATAGCTCTCTTTTCCTTTTCTTCCTCTTCTTTTTCTTGTGGCGTAAATTTCTTTTCTTTTTCTCAGAAATTGATCTTAGCACTAAACCAAAACATTACCTTTGGAATAGTTGCTTTACGGGACTTTTGTTCAGGACGAGCCATCTAGATTTGCTTTTACATTACGAAGAAAAGTGCCAAACCACTATGTATATGGTATCAATTAAAGCTTTTGTCATTCCTCGTCAACAAGTGCTGCATGGTAAGAAAATTTGTTACTCATTTTTATCATCTAAATGGGCAATTATTACCGTTAGTATATTCCTTATTTCTTCCTAACCCCAATCACTACTGTTAGGTAGGCCAACATCCTGCCTTGGCAAGGTCCTTTGAAGAATCCAAATCAAATCAAATCATAGAGTTATACCTAGACTATCACTTAGCATTTGGCCGAGTCACAACGTAAACACTTGGTCCAACAACTACGCTGGTTTTGTTATTTTGTTGCCATTCCACTCAATAGCATAAAGGACAATCAAAGAGGGAATCCTATAATGTGTTTACAATTGATTAGACTAACATCTGCCTTGACACTTTGGTTACGTTGATATGGTTAAGCAGAAATAGTTATGCCAATACCATCAGTTATAACGTATGGCCTAGCTAGTCACAAGCATTTGGTTCAATTGTACTTGTTATTCTTCCTATTTCTTTTTATAAGAAACAACTAATCAAATTATGCTATTGGAAATGTTAGTTAAAATTCATTGAAGACAATAAAAAGTAAGAAAAGAATAATATTTTTGTTTGAAACATTCCTATTTTTGTGGAATGATTGAATTTGTGGTGTGGGGATTAAATACATATGAGTGATATGGGTAAAATGAGAAATCAACCCAAAAAAAAATTGAGACAGCCTCTAAATATCTCCTAAAAAAGGAAACATGACATATCCCAAAACAGTCCCTCATAAAAATAAACAAAGGGACTATTTTGTTGCCGTGCCACTCAATAGCATAGAGAATGTACAATTAAAGAGAGGATCTTATGATGCATTTACAATTGATTGGGCTAACATCTGCCTCAGTATTTCGATTCTATAAGGCTTGTTTGATTTCTTATTTTGAAAATAATTTTTTGTTTTTAAAAACAGAAAAAAAAACTTGAGATAATTTGTTTTTAGTTGATTGTTTTAAAAAATAAGAAACAGTCATGTTTTTAAAAATAAAAAACCATAACAACTTGTAAATATTTTTTTATTTTTGTCCATGTTTTTTATTTTTTCTTTTAAAAATTTTTGAGAAATCTTCTCTTCTCACCTACTATCCACCACCTATTACCATCAGTGACAATTATTACCTACCAAGTGTGATTTTCTAATTTTTTTTTCAAACATGATTTTTTAAAATTATTATCCAAACAAATTTTTTTGTTTTTTTTTGTTTTGCTTTCAAAACTTGTTCTAAGAAACAATTTTATAAAATTATTTTGAGAATAAGAAAACAAAGAACAAAAACAAACAGGCCCATAGCTTTTTGCTTGGTCATAAGCACTCCATCTAATGTTGACGTTAGCTTTATTTCCGCAGCAAATAAATTCTATTCCTCTGGTTCTAAATGCAAAAATCATTTTATAATGTAAATTACACTATAAAATTGGCTTTATATTTAGGATCTAAGAAGTACTTGCTATTTTGTTTCTCTGTGTCTTAAGAGCATAGGGTCAATTAGAGAGAGAATCTTACAAGCCATTTACAATTGGGTGGCAAACTTCAATTTCTAGTTCTTTTTTTTTTTTTAATTTCCCCCGTTTTCTGTTGCAGACTGTCATATAGATAGCATATATGTTTTTAGCTTAATATATTGATGGAGAACAACTAAACAAGAGGCAAATATATAAAGGACCTTACTCATTGATTGTGTTTGTGCCTAGTAATGTCATGAAAAAGCACTCTACTCTAGTGATGGCCCCTAAATGAACTGGGAGGTTGAGATTCCTTTGCTCAGATAATCTTCAATTTGGTGACCGTTACGTTCCATCTATTAAAACACTAATTTTAAGGTTTCCTCTTTCCACAAATTATATGTTAGTAGAACAGAGGACGTCAGAAATTCTTAAATTAGACCCGTGGGCATATCTTAATTAGTTTAAAATTTATTGATTTGACAGTGAGCAAACTAAAATTGAATCAGTCATAATTAATATGTTTGAAACTTAAATTATATATGTTTATAACAACAGTACATAAAAAAATTAATATTTTACCGGTTCTTGATGGTTTGACTTTTTTAATTTTGTTGATTTTTAACTAACTTTTTAAATATATTTGAGCCAAATTTAGAAGTGTTTTGACAGTGAATTAGAAATAAATTTTTGACTTATCTCAAGCCACCCAATCCGGTTATGAGTAACACTGATACATGCAAGTCTTTGGCAATAACATGTTTTTATTTTTGTAGAAGTTAAAATATTTTAACCATCAAAACTGAATTGCTAGGACTTCATATCTTTATCTATTAGTGTCAATCTTGGAGATTCATCTCAATCTCCAAGTATGATTGATCAGTTCTTTATTTTTCTTCTTCTCCTGGCATATTTCTTTACAGAGTGATATGGGGTCTCTGGGTCCAAAAATCTAATCCTAGATTCTTTGATTCCTTCTTCCTTACAAGGAACAAAAAGAATCTGCCAATCTCACCACACCTCCCCACCTTCTCAGAAAACAACACGAAAATCAAAGAGATGAGAAGAAAGGAAAGAAAAATCCAAAGCAAGAAAGAGATAGAGGAAAAAAAAAGAGAAATATTCGTTTTAGTTTTCGCTTTCATTCACCATAAAGGAATATCCACACTAACACAGCAGCATTCCCATCAAGTTTTGATTCCCCCCCCCCCCCCTCTCTTCCCGAAAACTTCTCGCAGCATGAACAAAGTTGCACCCATTATTCATCATGGTGGGCCTGCCTTATATCGTGTGGGGAATCAAGATCTCGCGGCGAGAGAGAGAGGGAGGGAGCAGGTGGGAAAACAGCAGGATAAAAACAAGCCATACACTTTTCCTCTTTTCTCTCCTTTTAAGACTCCAAAATTGAACTGTGTTTGCTTTCTCTCTCTCCTCATCTCCCTTTGTATGTTTTTGCTGCATCAGAGATTCTCCACACAACACGCCTTTCAGGTCAAAGAAGGAAGACTACGGGAAATTTTTTTCTAATTAAAAAAAGGGAAAACTTGATATACGAAAAGGGATATGAGAGGTTCGGAGGGGGTGGAATAGCCACAGCTCATGGCATATATCCCCTCATCCCATAAACCCACACGTTTCCTGATATGAGAGTGAGATCATAGGACAGCACAACAACTCCAACTTATAAATAAGAACTATAGCTTCCACATATATTGACGCAAATACCAAAAAGGATCAGAACTCTTATTTATGCGATCTCTTCCAAAACTAGCAAAATGGATCGGCCAAATACGCAAAACCAAAGCATGCATTTGGTTCTTTCCTCTGATGCCAAGCCAAGGCTTAAATGGACTCCTGAGCTTCATCAACGATTCCTTGATGCTGTCAATCAGCTTGGAGGAGCTGAAAGTCAGTGTAATGAAGCTTGATGATTTTCTTTTATTGTGTTGATATTGTTAATATGGTCTGTATTTTTTATTGCACGAGCAGAGGCAACGCCGAAGGGTCTTATGAGGGTTATGGCGATTCCAGGACTTACCTTGTACCACCTAAAGAGCCACTTACAGGTAATTCCTCCTTTTGTAATGATTGTATCTCTCTTCTGCTTTCAATAAATCTGGAAATCAGCAGTTCTAAGCTTGTTTGTGTTTCTGGTTACAGAAATTCAGACTTGGGAAAAGCCCTCAACCAGAAGCCTTGTATAAACAAGAAGGTGACTTTCCTGAACCTGTGATTTAAATTTCAAAAGATGAAAGCTTGATAGTTTTGCGTCATACCCCTTATGGTGCAGATTATAGAGAAGCCCAAAGCAGTGATGGTCATTGCAGCAGAGAAACCATTATGGGGACCCAGAATCAGATGACTGTGTAATAGAAATTGATTTACTTTTTGTACGTTTTATGGATTTAATGGAGATGATGTTTTATAGAGGTTTACTCTGATCAAATGCTGTTTTCATCAGAAGCCAGCAGATTGCTCAGGCTCTCCAACTACAAATGGAAGTACAGAGGAAGCTTTATGAACAAATTGAGGTAGTCAAGACATACAATAAACTTACCAATAAATGATTTCTAGTTGATCAAGCAGCAAATGTTGATCAAGGATTGAAATTCTCAATTTCAGGTGCAGAGACATTTGCAGCTTCGGATTGAAGCTCAAGGGAAGTACTTGCAATCAGTGCTAGTAAAAGCTCGGGAAGTACTTGCAGGGTACAACCCTTCTGCTGCTGGTACAGAACATGCAAAAGCTGAGCTTTCTCAATTAGTCTCAATAATCAACAATGGCTGCCCAAGTTCGCCCATCTCAGAACTGACAGAAACTGGAGTTTTGAGCTTGAAAGATGGAGGAGAGAGGAAGCAAAGCAGAGAGACGATGTGTTCATTGGACAGTTCCTTGACATCTTGTGAAAGCTCAGGGACAAAGGAGGAAGAGAAGCCTCATAAGTCTAACAGAACTTCAGTTGAACTGCAATTGATGACTGTGCACTCAGAAGAAGATAAAGAATTGAATGGCGACTCAAAGAATCAAGCCTGTGGGAGAAAAAGGAGTAGAATCACTGATTCTGATGGTTATTTTCTAGAGCAAACAATCAGGAAAAGATGCAGCAGCCGGTCCAGGAAACCTGAGTTGTCTGAATTGCTTGATTTGAACAGCCAGTATCACAGTGACACTGACTCAGACTCAAAGGCCATGTACTTGAATTGCAGTTCAATACATAGGTTTTGGTAATATTCTCAAAGATGCCGCAACATTATTATCAGAAGTAAATCATTTTTTCATAGACTATGTATATTATTCTATTATATATCATGACAAGAACATTTCAATGTATATCGTCTTCAACAAAAAGTTATAATACACGCGGTGCGGCACCCCTTCTTATTATTCTTCCTAGTTTCCTCCATTTGACGTTTATTTTCTTATATCAATTTTTTGACAACAGAACCATGTTTTATCTAATTATAATTTAACAGCCTAGTTAAGAAGAAAATTACCTTTTACTTCTCCTCTCAAGACAATTGAGAATTCATTCACCTACCTGCCCACTTTCTCATTATGTGTATATATGATCCATTTAAAAGAGTACCAGAATGAGCTGGTGACCTAACATCAAACCCACAATAGGATTCCGTTATGAAGTAATCTTGCTTCTAATTGCTTTTATACCTTTTACCCATATGTTAATATGTACCAACGGATGGTTAGGCAGGGCATGCTTATTATCTCATAGCAATAGCAATAATAACATCTACCTATATTCAACACGCTTCCAAAAGAGAATTAAAGGTAGGAGAAAACATCATATCCACTACATCACTGGTTGTCACCAACAAAGGAAGAATGGAATTATTAGTTTAAACCATGCGCATTTTAATAACATTTGGTCCTATCTTACTTTAATCGATTGCTGTCACTAGCCTAGAGAAAGCTCATAATTTTGCATAGCCCACATTGGTAAATAAATCATGCCCGTCACCCTCCCTACTTGCTAACCAACGCATTATCATCTGCAGAATCAAACCTAACAAACATGGAGATTTCACAAGTTCCTCTTGCACACAAGCTTCTGACACTTCTTTTAATCTCGTTCGCAGACCTGGCTTTGCCTTTTCCTTTTGAATTTCAACAAGGTATGATATTAACTCGTGGTTATACCTTAAAATTGCAACCTTTTAATGTTTTTGTCTCAAAATTTATCCACTAACTAGTCCGTTCTGCAAACAGCATGCATCTATCCTTAATCTTCATTCACATATAAAGCTTGAAACAAATTGCAGGTAGCAGACAATGGCAAATGACGTCAGATGTTAGAGAGGTTGCAGGAAAGCACTATGATTACATTGTTGTCGGGGGAGGCACTGCTGGTTGTCCATTAGCAGCAACTTTGTCTGAGAAATTCTCTGTGCTTCTGGTAGAGAGAGGCAGCTCACCGTTTGGGAATCCCCTAGTGGTTGAAAAGAGATACTATGGTTTCCCATTACTGGACACAGACGAATACACATCAGTAGCACAAAGCTTCACATCCGAGGATGGCGTGAGCAATGTGCGAGGAAGAGTACTTGGAGGCTCATCAGCCATAAATGGAGGCATCTACAGCAGAGCTAGTGAAGAATATGTTAGTAAAGCTGGTTGGGACAAGAAACAAGTAAAAGAAGCATACGAGTGGGTGGAATCTAAGGTCGTCTTTCCACCAATGTTTCTCTCTCCATGGCAGTCTGTAGCAGAGTTCAGCCTTCTCGAAGCAGGGATTCTACCTTATAATGGGTATAGCTTGGAACACATCAAAGGAACCAAGATTTCTGGTAGTGTGTTCGATGGATTTGGAAAAAGACACACCTCTGCTAACCTTCTACGGGCTGCCAACCCAAAGACCCTGAAAGTTCTTCTAAATGCAACAGTCAAAAGCATAATCTTTCATTCCAATGGTACGAAAGAAAAAACTCATTTTCATAGCTGCTGGTGGCAAGTTGTTGACATCAGTAAATCGCAAATAAAAGTCAACCTGATCCACCTCATTGAAACTTGAAAGTCGACACCACAATTACTATTATCATTCTTTTTAATAAAAAAGCAAGAGTTTCCTATTTTTGTGAACAGCAATATTTACAATTATTTTATAACATGTTACGACCGCATTTTTATGGGCATTTTGGTCATGACGTAATTAACAGTAGAATCATTCAATAAGTTCAGCTCCAAGAACTTTCAACTTGAGTTGCTAACCATTGAAATGCTGCAGGTAACAAGAATGAAAGCAGAGCTCGTGGCATAAGGTTCATCCAGAGCCTTGGCAGCCTAAATGAAACCCATGAAGCCTACATCAACATGCCTAAGAACTCAACTTCATGGGGTGATGTAATATTAACGGCAGGGGCATTGGGCAGTCCTCAACTTCTGCTTCTAAGTGGGATTGGACCATACCGACAACTACAAAAGTTCAACATACCACCAGTGCTTGACTTACAAGGGGTAGGACAGGGAATGCAGGACAACCCCTGCATAGCAATATTGGTTAATACTAAGCCAGGAAAATGGCTGCCGGATCCGCCACTTGTGGCGGGCATAGCCGATGACATGAAAGTTATAGTTGAAGCAGCAATACAACCCCTAACTGCTAATTCAACAAGGGTTAATGTTGCTGCCAAAATAGCTTCCCCCTCCTCGAGAGGGAAACTTGAACTGAAGAACAAAGACCCTAGGCAGAACCCTGCAGTGAAATTCAATTATCTAGCAAGTCAAAAGGACATGGAGGAGTGTGTGAAGATGACTAAGTTGCTGTATAAAATTGCAAGGTCTAAATCTATTGCAGTTTTCTTTGGCACGGGAAGCCAGAAAAAGGCGACATCGTCCACTGAGTATGATCTGAGAAAATTGTGCAGGAAAAATGTAAGAACTTTCTATCACTATCATGGAGGCTGCAGGATTGGATCAGTGGTTGACAGACACTACAAGGTTTATGGTGTGAAGGGACTAAGAATCATAGACGGCTCAACATTCTCAGAGTCACCTGGCACAAACCCAATGGCTACCCTGCTCATGTTAGGCAGATATCAAGGAAAGCAGATTCTCAAAGAAAGAGAACCAGTTTCCGATCTGAAATCAAAATAAAAATATTTCTTCTTGCTTCTGTTATATTAAATAATGTTCTGTATCATCATAATTCAGCACTTAGGATCCCAATCAAATAGAATGGACTCCGTGAATTTTTCAACAACGCTTGAGATGCACGGTCAATGATTCTCTATGTAACCTACTAACAACATTAATATTTTTAAAAAGAGATCAAAAGAATACGGAAACTAAAAATTTCATTATTTTATGTCGAATTTTGTGCACTTGTGATCTTTACAACTCATTACAAAATCTCCACCCTAACTATCTACCACCTCAGCATCGCCCTTGGACTTGAAGTATCATGGGAATCGTTTGAAGGAGGTTGATTAGAGTTCTCACTTCCTCTTCTTTCACCATTGAAAGAGAAACTAACCCAAACTACTCTCCCAATCCTTCTGCTGCTCTCTTCCCCGTCTTCTTGACATCTCTTTTCCCAACTTCTTCATCAATAGGCATTTCATACCTGCAAACTGGGCAAGATCCATGAATCCCCAGCCACTTCTCTACGCAACCGGGATGAAATTTATGCTTACAAGGCATCTCTTTCACTATCCTACCAGCTTCCCACTGTTCCAAGCAAATCACACACTCTCCCTCATCACCTTCATCAATTTTAACATCTGGCAAAGCATCTATGGATTCTTTGGAAGCCGGCGGCTGCCCACCCTTGCCACTGCCCAAATCGCGAAACAGAGCCTAGAGGTTTGAAGCACCATCGATCACCACCATACCCTGTGTTAAGGGGTTAATCAAGATGATTCTCTCATGCTGGGGACTTTCTCCACTCTCATTTTCCCGACCCGAGTCTTCAGCCTCTCTTCTTGAAGCAGCATTCGATAGGCCAAAGATCAAGGGGAGAAACAGAGTCAGGTCTCTATTTCTCACCATCCTTTCGAACACTGAAGAAATCTTTGACAAAACGGGTTCGGAGGCCATGATTGAAAACAACATACAACTTTTCTTGAAAATTGAAAAGGGAAGAGAGAAGAGCAACGAGGAGCTAGAGAAAGATGAAGAATTTAAGGAGTAAAAATCTAAATTGAGAATGAATGAACAGAGGACCAAAAGGAAAGGTTGGGCTGGGAATAATATATGGGGAAGAAAGAAGGTGATCGCCCACGGATTGAGGAAGGATGTGGAAGGATCTAGAATTTCGTTTGGGAGGCGCGTGATATCCCCAGGCATGGACAAAGCAAGTATCTAAAAATGGCCAATTTGAAAGTTCATCTATATTTTGCAGTCCTTTTCATCGGCAAGAAGATACTTATGGTGGCGACCGGATGCCGGAGGGCACGTCGGATTAAACTGTGAATGCATTAACTAACCCTCTCTCCGTTTTTACTTTTTAATTATAAGAGACAATTAATTAAATAATATTTATTAAAAAAATTAGATAAAATTAATTCAGAAAAAAAAAAAACATAACAGGAAGGGTTGTCGTAACAATTTATATTTTATAATGAATGCAAGGGATAAGGCACTTACACATCCGAAAGTATTCACATTTGTTCTTATATATCATGAAGGTTTATTTTAATAGCAAAAATACCCTAATTGCTATTCATTATTAAGTTTGACTGTTAAATTATGTGATTTTATCAATATATTTAAGAGTCAAACTTAAAAGCTGATAATTATTTACGACAAAAATGTTATGAAATAAAATTTTCCAAAAATATAAAAGCAAAAAAAAAAAAACACATCTAGGTACTAGGTGTTTCTTAGTGAATGTTTTCAGGATGTTTAAGTACATTATCTCTAAATACAATAATATTAACATGATTAATTAAATGTAAGAAAAATGAGAAATGGTTAAAAAAAAAGAATAGAGATGATAAATGTATAGTATAAAGAGAAATAATATATACCCAAAAATTATTTATTATAATAACAGAGGGAAGAGGATCATAAATTAACACTAAATAGTTCCTCTCTATTTTAGCATGAATAAAAAACTTGTCATAAAAAAATATTGTTTATGTCTTAGTTTAAACAATCAATATGAATTTCATTAAACAAAACTAGAAATTAATTAATTGGTATGTTCCTGAATAGCCTAGAGCTTTTTTTATTAAAAAAAAATCCCCAAAAATGACTATTAAATTTTAAAATTTTAAATCATTATTGGTTACTATACTAGTAAAAAAAGATTACACTTGAAATGCAAATGATAATAAATTTTTGTAGTAATTTCTAATTTAAAATTTTGAAATTCAACATTTTGTTATAAGACAAAAGAAAGAGTAGAGAATAAAAGAAGAGAATAAGGGATAATAGAAAATAGGAGTATTTCTCATTCTATTCATGGGTGCTAAATACATGATATATGGCCTTTATGTATAGGGACGTCTTCACATCTTTGACAAAATCTACATAGTAGATAATAATAGGATATAGTTGTAAGATATAGAGAGAATATGAGATATTGAAGATAATGGGAGATATATGATCGTCTACAAAGATATTATTATATTCATAACACTCCTCCTTGGATGTCCATTATATATAAACATGTCTTATTAAAAAATTTCAACTAGAAAAAACCTTGTGAGATAAAAACCTAGTTTTAAAAAAAAAAGTACATCATTTATTAATACACCGTGAATTGCTATCTCATTAAAAATCTTGTTAGGAAAACCCAATGAGACAAAATCATAGACAACAAAAAAACAGTGTACAGCATGTATCAACTCCCCAACTTGGCAACATTAATTAACATCTTTGAGCTTACAAAGTCTAATATAACGAACAAGTCTTCCAAATATTGTAGTGAGATAAAAACATCAAATATTAGTTTTACAATCTTTTAAAAATCATGACATAAATAGTCTCTTTGTGGTTTAGCCACATGTGGATCATACTATGACCTCTCGACATGAAGATCAAACAAGAATACTATCTATATAACAGTAAAATTAGTCTTGTGTACATTTAGATAAAGTAATATCACCTCAATGATACCTTTAAAATAACAAGGAATGTTCTCAACTTCTTTTCAATGTATTCGTCTTGGTGAAGAACTATATCATGTTAATTAGCAAATGATATATTGAGTTTCATGTGACTAGATAGATACATAAGTGTTCTAGTGACACTAAGATATGGTACTTTTAGACCAAGTATTTATTCATCACCTTCTGGAAGTCTAAATGAATCTTTTATCGACATCTAAAGATCTTACAACTATCAGAGTACATAATAGATGTGACTTATTGATATTTATTCTTTCCGAATTATTTCTTTAAGCAATTCACCGCTTTTGTAAACTTTTTATAAGTTTTGATACTATTTATATCATTAACATAAACAGCAATGATAACTAACTCATTATTCTAAATCTTTTTATATATGAACAATTTGGAATATTTTTTATATCATCGTTTTAACCATATATTTACTAGATCGGTTATATTATGTAAGCCTCCATATAGAGACTTATTTAACTTAATTGAATAGTATTCATGACAAAATAATTGTATGCTTGCAGAAACTTAAGTCCTTCAGGAACTTTCATATATTGTGATCAAAATCTATCCATATATTATATCATTTTGAACTCATATAAGGATTTGAATCCTTTGGAGATTCATATAAAATTTCACTATATAGTGAGTCACTATATTTTCTAGGCACATATAAAATATTTTTATATATTATCAAACTACCAGGTTAATAAGATACATAAAAATTTAATCTACCATAAGATTGTATTTCTCTTTTTTTATGCGAATGCCCATTTATATAATATTAACATTATATTTCAAATGTTTAGGCTAGGGATACACAATCCCTATTATAATGTTGCGTCTTTTCTTTTCTATTGGCCAACCATATTTCTGTCCATATCTTATGACAGATTTATATATAATATGCTCATTTAATCACGTGATATTACTGCTAAAATTATTATCGACAATTTTATTCCTTTATCAGTCCCATTTTCCTATATGACATAATATATCGAGATATTTTTATTGCTTTCAAATACTTAAACTTCTTCAAAAGTCAAATAGTTATATCTTAGCCTCTTTTGCAATTCATGCCTCTTGATCATTTGTTCGTTCTTCTTTTCTTTTAGAACCAATCATTCTCTCATGCTTTTAGCATGTTTTATAAAAAATATGAGCACTTTTAGCTAAAATATGAGAATGAAGAATTTTCATTTAAATCAGTAATTGCATTTGGAAAATATTAGCAATATTTTATGAATACGATACTTTATGAATGAATAGTGTAGTAGCAATAAATGCAAGAATATTTACTTTCATAATCTTTGTCACATCTTGAGAAATTTCACTTGGAATTGGGAATTTAAAAATTAGGATCAGGGCCAATGTAGAAACTAGACACGGAGATGAAACAACTTTTGATGTGAAACCCCGATAAGGTCTGGGCTGGCATTTTCGTAATTATTGGTATAGGAAGGGCAAAACAGGAAAATTTGAAAAAAATTCTGAACAATTCTCAAAAAATGGTAAAAGTGCAAATTAGAGGTTTTGAAAACTCGGTTGAGACCTGAAAGATGGAATTAATATGAAAATAAATTATTATGGAATTTCCCATAAATGAAGGTTTTTGGGAAAAATATTTAAAAATCAGAGAAAAATAATTATTTTAATTAGTTAGAGGCCTCAATAATTCTGAGAAAATAATGAAAAAATCATCTAAATATTTTTTTGAATTTAAAAAATTGGTTTTAGGTCTTGAAAACTCAGGAATTAATTTTAAGGAATTTATTTTCCTACAGTAACACCAATAGAGGCCTAATCGAAGAAAATTTAAAATAAATACCTAGAGCTGGCAAAAAATTTTGAAAATTTTCAGATTGTGTTCTTATATTAAAAGGTGAATTATCATGGAGAGAAATGAATTTTTTAAAGTCTAGAAAAATTATGAAATGTTACTAGTGAATAGTAACTGATAAAGTGTCGGAATTAGGGCTATTCAAAAAATACCCAATCCAGGTAAACCCGATCCAACCCAAAGAAACCCGGTCCATTCCAATTAAAAAAGCAACCTCAAATAAAAAATAGATTGGACTAGATCGGGTTGGTTATCGAGTCAGATCGAGTTCCGAGCTGACCCTTCAGACCAAATAGTCTGGTCCGACCCGGTGCATTGCACATATTTATATTTTTTTATAAACAAATATTTTCAGTTCCTTAACCCTCTTTCTTCCTTATTTGACTCTTTGACCTCCTGCTCTCTCCTT